TCAATCACACTCATCTTCGATTAGCGATTTCAGGATCTTCAAGGATTTTTCAATTGCTTGAATGTGGATCAATGTAACCAGGATAAAAAGCGAACAAGTGAAAAAGGTACACATGCCATACAAGCCATTCGGAGATGCCATAAACATATTTTACCGCACACTCTACGCCCAAATCCCGTCATAATTAGAGTACATCTTGCAATTAGGAACTACAATTTCTTTCTCATCTATAAAAACACTTATAAGCACAGGGAACTAATGATAACTACGTTTTTTTTAAACTAAGCCAGAAATTGTAGTTCCTACTTGCAAAATGTAGTCCAATTGCGTTTCAATGTAGTCGGTTCGGGGTCCTCTCTAATTATGTAGCTACCGTTAGCCTTATCCAGAAAGGGAACACCTCGTAATAGTGTAAATCCCATTGAAATGACTTCATATCCTTTATGTAACTTCCTCCAGAAGTTTCAACTTAGCTCGTAGTTCCTTTCTCCGCAATAGTCTTGAATCTTGGTTGCTCCGGCTTGTAGCTCAGCCAGCGATTGTAAATACGAGAAAACATTCCCCGCTTTTTCCAAGAAGCGTATCCGAACGAATGAAGTATCTGTGGAAGAGGAAGAGACGAAAGTTTGAGCGGAATGATCTGGTTCGTTTCCCCGCTTTTTCCGCGAGATTAGTCGCGGAGCAGAGTAACAAGACGTGCCTCGACAGGACGCCGCAGTGCTAAATTTTAGATGCCCTCTGAGATACTCTCTCTCTCTCTTGTACTAAAGCTTGGATTTATCATGAACCCCCCGAAACGCCTCGAATACTGTTGAAAATAGAATAGTACGCGAAAATTGATAAATAAACCTACTCTTTGTAAATAATGAAAAGCCTTGACCGAGCTCGAAAATCAAGCTACATCATCTGTCGTTACAATGGCAATACAACGCATCCCACTCGTCGTAACTCCATATTCTTAGAGATAAATGTCAATGTCAGTCATGTTACTCGGAAAAGAGAAGTATCTTAATCTCAACTATACCTTCAGCGGATTTTGGCACCAGCCATAAGAGTAGTTGCACCAGCGCTAGAAGTGTAAAGCCACCAGCCAGGGGTGTAGTTAATTCAACGATACTTGGATTGCATTTTGCAAAAGGGAACCACTAGCATTGCAATGTTGCTAAGATTGTGCAACTTCTTTTGTCTTGGAGGGAAAACCCGATTATCCCTTCTATAGTTTCTATTTTACTCGCTAAAAACTGTAAATCTAAGACAAAAATTACCATCTAAATTTCATAGTTTTTCACAATTTCCGCAATTTTATTGCAAAGGATGAAGTTGCACAATCTTAGCATCATTGCAATGCTAGTGGTTCCTTTTTGCGAAATGCAATCCACTTATACTGAGGGCACCAGCTAGAGGTATGGTTGATCCAACCAAACTTTCAGCTGATTAATTGTTAACCACACCTATGGCTTGTGCAACTACTCTAATGTCTGACGCCAAAAACAGCCAGGAGTATAGTCAAAATTGTAATAATTTTCTTTTCAGTGTAGGATTATAATGTATCGTATTTTTCTCTCGATTTCTTCCCCCGTCTCCCTCCCTAAAGTACAATTTTATTTCTTGAACAGAGCTCATGTTTTTCAGAATTAAACTGGCCATTACTAATGCGGTTCAGTGGCGCGGCGTCAATGATCAATAATCCCCATTTGAAGCTGTGGTAAAGAATCGATTATTCAGTTAATTTATTCGCGCGAACACCCTCTTTATCTGCCCTTTTCCTTACGTTTAAATAGGAGATCGATCAATCGATGCATCGCCGAGCACGCCACACCACTGCTGCGCTTTGTTGGACGTCTTTTTGTGAATCTTTTACGAATCTTTGACGTCTCGTAAAAACATGGTGAGCTTATCATCAGAGTAAGACGTAGTCAGTCTCGTCCCTAAATTGAGATACATCTATGAAACAAACACCATCTGATAATCGTCTATAAAACTATTTCCAACCGAGCTGAAAATAGAGCACCTTTATATAAGCATGGATAAAGGTATTTCTTCAACAATTTTCGGAGCCATCTTTTGCCGTGGAAAAAATGGCAATTGCGAAAAGTTGCTCTCGAGATTATTTGACGCAGTCGAAGTATCAAAAGTCCCGAAGGTTCGGAATATTCCTCCTTTGACTTTTTTTGCGGCGTCTTCTCTGTATTATCTCGAGAGGAGATCATGAGGCATAATCCCGCGACCTGACAATATTGTCACTCATTTTACCCGACGGCGCGCGTGGCCAAAGTGAATACCGAGGGCCGGGAAAAGGGGGAAAAAATTAATTTATTCTGCAAATTTGTTGAGAAACAGCTTTTCATGAAAACGCTTTAAACGCTGTTAAATTAATCGTATGCATGTCTAAGTCGGTGCGACGCGACGGGCCGCGCACCAAGAATATCAAAGCCTGGTTCTCGGCGCGATTCTCTTGATCTCAACCCCCTCCCCTCGCGCCCTCCCCCTCGCACCCCGCTAAGGCGAACGGCCCCTTTAACCTCTGCCCCTCACGGCTTTGCTTAACTTGCCTCGTTTTGCTCCCCGCGTTCATTGCGAAGATCAAATGGCAAAGTTTTCCCGGGAACATATTACGTCGTTTGCGGACGGGGGAGTGAGGGCGGTTACCTGCGATTTATTTGCCGAAGGAAATATGAAAAGGAAAAATAACTCTCATTAAAGTTTATTTGAAACGGCTGCTTTTTACCTGCGGAGTAAATATCTTGAGTCGCGGCGAGCGTTGAAACTTGCGGGGGAATCGCTCATTACGGCCCTCGCCGTCCGTTTTCAAGGTGTTCAAGATTCATCTTCGCCGAATGCCCACCGCTGCATTTCTAGTTGCGATGCTCTCTAGTTGGCAACACTGATTTTGCTCTACTACATCAATTAAATCTATTGAAAATAGCGATTCCACCTGAACCTACCTCACCTAGAATTGATTTTTTTTTACATTTGTACGTTTAATTTAGGAAAAGTAGCGTTGTCAACTTTCAAGAATCGCCAACGTGTATTTTCTGCTTCTCAAATTCTCAATAATTCCCCGTCTTTATCCATGGACCGCAGCTTATCCGGCAATGTGCCCATACCCGTAGTGGAATAGTTGTCGCAAATGATTCTTGCATTGCGTTTGGTGCAATGCGAGAAGTATTCATGCAGTCTCGTAGGCGCTAATATGCGTCTGACGCCGACCGCACCGTTTGGCGCAATGCGTGAAGTGTTCCTACAGTCTTGCAGGCGCTGATATGAGTTTGACACCGACCAAACCGTATTTGGCGCGATTATTGGAACTCTTGTTAGGATACTCGCGGCATCGAACAATCAGGCTTCAAAGGCCCATGTTTTGTTTCGAGGCCGTATGAGTATTCCAACGTTGCCTCGTTTCTGCCGATAAATTTTTTTTTTTTTGGAGAAAATTTCCGCGGTTCCTCTATTTTTCCGGCCATCGGTGGACCGTGACAGTCAGGGCGGTACCACCCGCGCCCGGATCGGCCCGGCGCGGCAGTACCCGCTGAATTTTGACCCGAAGGATATGGCCCACGGAATCAAATAATGTGATATGTGTTTATTATGAAGATTAATTGTCCATAGACATCAGAGGGATACTTGGCGCATCTATCCATGTTCCAAGGTTTTCAAATTTTCAGGGATTAGGACCGAACAGAATCTGTTTCTGCAGATCCACTCGTAAATTCCGTAAAAACTAGACGCCACCACCGGGATTTGAACCCGGGACCTATTGACCTTGAGCCAGACGCACTGGCCACTAGGCCAACCCTGACCGGCTTATCTCTAAAATTAAAACCCTTCCCGAAGCAGGATCTATCTATCTAGTGACGTCACGTATTGAGCCATAGAGCATGTCACCGTAATATGAAACAGAGTAGTCGGAGCCGTAGCTGTAGTTAAATCGAACGTGACAAAGCCTGTCGCATCCATCAGAAGTGAGAGAATATTATTGGCAAGTTTGGCAGGCTAATTGACCGGTCAACTTAGATTGATTGCTTACTTGCGTCGCGTGGCGGGTGGCGGGTGGTGGGTGAATTAGGTTGGGTCCGAAAACCGGTGCTTGAGGAGCCCTTAATCAGATGGATGATGCGTGTGCATTATGGATAGTATTGTTGAGCGGTGCACGCGATGCCCCGTGGCTCCATCCCCATTGTCATTGTTTACCCCACCTCCCGACGCGCCACGGCGAGGAGACTCCTTAATTAGAGATGTTTGAGCCTTATTGACGCGTTACATCTCAGTTTGAAACTGTGCGTAAACTTAGGTCATGAAGAGCTAGAGTCACGCTGTGACCTCGATTGCATTTGGAAGGAGTCGATCACCTACTTGGAGTTCTTAGAGTTGAAGTGGGTAAGAACCAGACTCAGTTTATTTTTGTTTTTTTCACACAATTTAAAAATGATTTTATCTCAATTCTGACTTTTTAGCATATTTTTAAGCAACATATTGACGGTAAGTCGGCAATCGAATACCTCGGTTTGCAACGTCGCAGACTTCCTCACTGGTAAAAGAAGTAGCTTGAATCTAGAGTCGAGACTCTTAAAAAAATTGACAAGAAAAAATACTCTTGATTCAATCGGATTTTACCTCGAATCGAAGAGCCAAGCCTCTTGATTTAACCGGATTTCCATTTGAATCAAGGGTACTTCTTCTTGTCAATGTTTTTAAGAGTCTGGACTCTAGATCCAAGCTACTTTTTTTACCAGTGGGTTCATACTTTTTTTTTAAACGGAAAACTTTTCAACGGCGATTCTCTGAAACTGCCGTGATTTTTCTCCTCCGTGCGAAAAAAATTCCGCAGAAGCTTCAAGGAATAATGCCAATTTGTTCTCCTCTAAAAAAAATAACATTGAGGCGGAGATTTTCATACACCGCAAACGAGATATGTGAGTGCGGACTTACGCCGTCGATATGCCCATATTTCTTCTCTCCGTTGTTCTGATCGGACTCTCTTATGCCTTTTTTGTTCACAGTTCCTCCGAGTATCCGGACGACGCCTCTTAACGGTCAGCTGACTGCCAGAAAAGGTGGAACGATTACCCTCGAATGCAAGCCGTCGGGGAACCCTGTGCCCAGTGTTTTTTGGTCGAAAAAGGTAAGTTCATTAGTTTTTGTCAGTAATCATATCATTGGTGCCGACAAGTAGTAATCATTCAAGTAAATAATGCCGTTTCATAGGGTAATTTCTGACCCTTTCGAGCCAATTAATATTTATGTTAAGCACACATAAAATGTATTTACTAGCCACTCACTAAAGTATCGGGGTTCTCCAGCCGAGAAACTCCTTTCAAATCACCGTATTACCAACCGAAACATACCGACGAGTGTAAATCGTTGTAACTTGTCAAAAAGTAATCGCGCTTTTCAAATAAGCGTAATGGAAAAGCGAAAATAAAATGCACGTTCGTGGGAATTGTCAATCCTGAATTATATATATAAAGTGTCGGCACTCAACATCCAATCCATAAAATTAGTCGCCGATAACATTTCAATCACTGGTATTGAAGGGCATTGGCCCCCGGTAAATATGAAGCGACTCACCACGAGGACTTGACTCTTTCGCAATCTGGTTTTCAAATGCGTCCGTTAATTTTTGCAGAAGGCGGACGCTTCAATAATGCCTGAAAGCTCCATCACTCTCGCTGCGCCATTCATTTATAACCCGGAAACTTTCTGCGCCGCCGTGTTGTAAACTTTTCGAACATTAATTGTACGAAACACATAGAAAGTTCATTAATTGCAATTTTCATCAGGTTCATCGGCAGAAAAATATAATGATCACTTAACGAGTTTTTTTCGCCCATCTGCTCAACGAGGAGGGGAGGGTCGGAAAGAGGGGAAAATGTAACGACTGGGAATTAATTGAAACTTGTTGGAAGTTTATTTTTACATCGAAAAGTAGGTAACTACTTGCCATCAAATTAGTGACTCTGAATTCATAGGCAGCGTGGTTTGTCAGTTTATCCTCGCTTCACGTTATTTCATTCCATGCTGCGAATAACCATGTAGATCTAGTTTCTTTTTTCTTTCGAATGAATTTCCCCCGGAAATACCCCGCTGGAATCTGTCATGCAGAGAGGGGCTACAAATAATAATTGAAGGAATGCCAATTAAATAAAATGTGAAAAGGGAGTTGATCCAGCAATTTGCTTTGAATTCCGCTCGGACATACATTTCAACACAGTTGTCCCACCTGCTTGAAAAAAAAAAAAAAAAAAACAACGTCGGTGACAAAAAATAAAACTCGCAGAGTGATTGGAGCATCGACGTCCAGAACAAGTAGCTATTTTTTTAGCTTAGGCAAGTTTCGGTCGTAGTAAAAACCTATCACAACCTCTCCGCACACAGAGCGGCTTTTTGTTGGTGTTGAAACGTACCAATAAGTCAATTTCAGTTGAAATTTATAAGTATTTCAATGCAGTATGATGCAAAAGCTCGTATATTTCCAATACTGCCGTGCTAAGGAAGAACGCCGTATGTACACTCGAGAGTTGCCAAATTTCCTTCGATGAAATGTTTATTATTAGGGACAGTTTTGAATAATTTTCATTGACATTTTCAGGAGCCTCAGTTGAAATTGCGAGCAAAATTATCTAAAAAATCGGAAGAAAAGTGTTCCTGATTTAGTTCAAGTAATTTGGCAACGCCTGAAGGTTCGTACGGCGTTCTCCCTTAGTATGGCGGTACACGGACTTTATGTCCACTTTTTCTACGTCCTTTTTCCACTTTTCCTATGGGGAAATGCGATTTGCCTTTGAAAAAATTAAATAAAATTATAAAACATGCAAAGTAATCAACCTTGTTCAAGGTATCAAATAATAATATGCTTTTAAGTGTATTGTTTGGGAAGAGAAATACTCTAATTATTCTGCGGCTTTCAGTCCTAAACCTTGGTCTGGACTTATCGTCCGTGTTTGTATTTATTCTTTATCGCAGTTCTTTAGCGGGAGTTATTTGTCGGATTCCACATATCTGAAATGTATACGGTAAAATCATTTCTTTGAAAGTTATACGGAAGATCATCCCTTTTCCTGACATTGCTCTCGGGATTTCATTTAAACTCCCCCTGAGGGAATGTACTCGGACCATGTAGAGAAGCATGCATGACATTAAGGAGCTGTTTAAGGAGCGAGTATGAATGGGGCACCTCCAGTGGTGTACAGTCGCCGAAATGTTGCTCGGTGAACGGTGGCCGTAATTGAATTACAAAGCGGAGCTCGGTTATTGTCGACAGTAATAATTACGCGGTACTTAGTACACCACCCGACCGCCACGCCGCGCCGAGCCGGAGTGGTCCTCGATCTGCGGGCAGATTAGCGCCCCCCGGGCCCAGGGCCCCCGGGGGTGCGAGGGGGGGGAGCAGGGGCTTGACCACAGTGTTGCTGATAAATCACCCAGCAAATGTTGACCAAATGCCTTTGCCAGGGAAATTATGCAGCCACCCCTGCCAGCCCTGCCAACCCTTCTACTCCTGCCACCATTACTGCGTTTCCGCCAATAAAGATAGCACTTCCCTCGCCGCTCACATCAGGTCGCCGTTGCCGTCGCAGGGTAGAAACCCCTTATTTTCTCGGAAAGATCTGTAAGAAAATAGCCAATTTTGCATCAGAAATGGCAGCCCTGTATCAGTTCACCCTGACTAATTTATTTTCTCGTGAATTACTTTCGGCCAATCGAGGTTGCCGATTCCGCAACGTCGACGTGGCGTGCTTTGCGATATATCGATTGTTATGCGATTTAATCCTATGGAAAAGGATCGATAAACAGGGTGATCGCAGCGAACACCTTAGTAATCGAGTCTTTACCATAGGTTTAAATGGCATAACAATCGATACATCGCAATTCATGCCACGCCGCACTGGTCTCTTCGGCTCAACTCCTCTCTGGAATTATCACTCTCGGGGGAGGAAAAATAGAAAGTGAATCGCTTTTAAATTGAAATATTCATTTTTTGAAAATAGCATCTTGCGTGCTTGAAAAGTAACTAGAATTATAAAAATAATTAGAAAAAGTTTGGCTATCGCACGCGTTTTATTAATTATTGATCGTGCACGCACATGCTCAGCACCGACCTCATAACCATCACAAAGCCTAAAACACTTAAACTGAAAAGACAATCAAGAAGGAAATGGTATCACCAAGAATGATTAAACCTTGAACTTTCAAAAAAATAAGGATATATCTAAATTTTGATGCAAAATTTAATTTTTCCTTAAAAATCTCAAACACTATAATATGATTAGCCCCCCTTTCCTTCCCCCTAAAGCGATTGAACCCCCAGAAGCGCCTCGTGCTTCAAGCGTTAAGCGTTACGCATTAATATTATGATTTTATATCATAGAATATTGTTGCAGTGTTAACTCGATTATTACAACAAGATTAGGTCGGAATTTGTGAATGTATCAAAAAGTAAATCGCACAAACAAAACGATTAGAAGACAATCATATAGGCATCATGACATCGTTCAAATTATAAAATATTTATCCTCTATGAGGACATAGATAGTGTATGTTTTACTGGATGCCAGACTGTTCAGTTATAGTTAGTGCATATGTTTTTGTTTTCTTATGAAGCATTACTTCACTTATCAAAGAGAGAGCATTCCCTTAAGAAAAACATGGCAAACTTTATGATTAATGAACTGACAGTCAATCGATTAGTGGTGAACTTGGATTCCTTTAATACAGAATGTTAATATGCTTAATATGCTGTTATTATGCAGAATGTAAATGAGCTTTGTAAGTATTCTGAATAACTCGCTACGTTCGATTGTGGCACGCCATAAGGAGGATACTTAAAGGAAAGTTTTAGTATTAAAAAGCATTAAGGAAGGCATCGTCGGGTTGTAACGCTTTTCGTGCATCGTTTTCCAAACACATCTACTTGTATTGAGTTACCAAAAAACACATTCACAACGCTATGTCAGATTTGTAAAAGTCGTACTTTTTTCACGAATTCTAATGAAATTTGATGCATTTCTGGTTGTTTTTTTTTCGCATCATGTGCTAGCAGTCAAAATAGTACATTTCTGTCGCCCAGAAAAATTAACGAGGGGTTTCGAAGAGCGCCTGATACTTCCTAAAAAATTAAACTTCGCTATGGGTCTCGAAAAGTTCAAAGAGTCTAGCACTGAAATATCTCGCAATTATGATCGTCATCGATTTTCAAATGAAAAAATGTAATTACATCTTTAATTCTTTAAGTTGAAAATTTCTCACTCTAATTATTTTCACTGCGTTATCGAACTTTCTAAAAAACGAAACATTCCTTTGTAAATTTTGCAACTTTGGCCAGAAACCGACAACGTAGGTAGTATTAATCATGTGTTTTACCTCTGTGATTTCCAAACGAAAAAATGTAATTACACCCTCAGGATGCCAATTTCTCTCTCTCTCTAATTATTTTCACTACGTTATAGAACTTTCGGAAAAAACGAAACATTTCTTTGTAAATTTTATAACTTGGGAATAGACTTACGTCCCTTCGTCTAGCTAACGACAACGTGGGTAATATAAGTCATGTGTTTTACATCCAAGCTTGACTCACCTTTTAGAGATGCTCTTGTGCGTTGAGCCCAGAATGATTTCGCCAGGTAGCTGGAGCGAAAGTTTGCCGAAGCTTCGTTTTTGAAATTTGATTTCGCGAGTGGCTCTGTCACGCGGCGAAAGGAAAGAAAAGCGTCGAAGACAGGGTAGGCGGGAGGGGTGGGGTTGCTCGCGGGAAACTTGTATTCCTTGATTAGTTTTTCCGCACTCACCGCTCGTTGTCACGATTCACGCGTCCATCTCGGCATCCCCGACGCTGCCACACTCCTCCCCTGGTTTGCATTCTCCGGGCGAAGGACTTATCGTCGCTCCTCTGACCTAAAGGCATAACTAAATTTTGCGATGAGCCCTTCTTTTCGTATAGCTCATTGCTTTATACAGCTCATCTGGCAACAGATGTACGTTCTTACGTTAGAAGAGCGACATTATCTGGTCTGAAAAACTATGATCGTTTAATGACGTCCAGGACCTAGAGAATAACTTATTGCTTTCTGCAGCTCATCTGGAAATAGGTGTACGTTCCTACGTCAGAAGAACGACGTTATCTGATCTGAAAAACTATGAGTGTTTAATGACGCCCAGGACCCAAAAAGTCGCAAATTACCGGTATTTATCGATGAATAAAACATTATCCGGGTTAATCAAGGAGTTGGAATTGGAAAGCGGAAGATCATTCACCGTTTGCCCCAGGATCATATTTTTTTCTGAATAGATAAATAAATAAATAAATAAATAAATAGATAAATAAATAAATAAATAAATAAATAAATAAATAAATAAATAAATAAAAAATTTCGATAGTCTGCATGAGAAAATTTAGTTTACTCCCTGGGAAAGTTTGAGATAACTAACAGTAAGAAGAATTATAAGGTTTTCAAAAGAGATTTCCTCTCCGAAAATGAGAGAGATGAGGAAGTCAAGGCATTGAACAAACCAGGAATATGTATACTCAATGGTTTAAATTATAGGTATGAACAGTTTCTGTAGAGAGGGTAAAAACTGCTGAACTGGGAAATACATTATATTACCTTTTTACCACTCAGCACGCCAGTTTAAATTACAATCAGATTCTTTAAGTCAAAATTGATGTTAACTCTCCACGATTTCTGTTTTGTCAGTCTAACACTAAAAAAATTAGGGTTTGACTGAAAATATACGAATTCATGAAAATCTCGGGGAACACAAATTTATAGAAAACCTTTCATGATGCAGGGAGAATCATCACTTTCCTCAAATTTTTTTCCCACCTTTAAAGTTTATAAAACCGCAAAATTGAGGCATCTTCATGAAAACTTTGGAAATCTTAAGAAGTTTTAAAATTGTGAAGGAATACGTGGTTGTGTTTTTAAAAAAGGGAGGGTTACATGTTTTGTTGTGTGAGCCTTTTTCAGCCATTATATTAGGTACAAAATAAAGGGTACCGAAATCCCAACACATGAATTCGTGATTATACCGAAACCTCATATCACGGCTTAAATGGTGTTTTATGATGTTTTTCAGTCTGAAATGAACATAAATCTGGGGACTGGGGCGCTATGATGTATAGGTTAAGGTTGGGTAAGGGAATTCTCCGGCGAGGCAAGTCCTGTTACTGGGGCGTTATAACATCCTCAAGTGTTTAAATATTCAAAGCACGCGATAATTTTTATTTAACTTCACGTTTATTGCATATGAGTATACAGAGTTACCCATATACCGTACCGTCTTTATTCTTATGTGTAGTCGCGCTTTATTTTTTATGTATCTCAAGCAGTCATCCGATCGAACCCATTAAAATTGTTCAACATTTTTCGTTCCGATACTCAAGCAGAAATTGCAGGAGGGAGAATCAATCACAAGGAACCTAGTTGGTATAAAATTAAGCTTCGAAAATTAGGTCGTAAAAGTCACAGGGTGGGTACAATATTTTTAAAAGCACTGGGAAAAAACCAAAGATTACTAAGGACTCCAGATACCGCATTGGAATAAAACACGGCCCCCTAGTCCCCTGCAGCTCCAGGGTAGGCAACCTGTTTAGCGGTATGCCATACTTCGAGCTAACGAATATACTGTTTGCCGTGTGTTTGACCGGTTTCGCCGTGCTGTGCTAAGTTTGGTTAAAGATTCACTGTATTAAATTTTCTTATGTCTTAAATCGTTAAAAAATGCCGAAAAAACCAAAAAAAAAGAAAGAAAAAAAAATTAATGCAAATAACTCTGCTCAATTTTCTGAGTCCATTTAAGTCCACTGGTGAGTCCACTAGTGACTAAAATGAGCAATTTTCGCAATTTGCCGTTCATAATCTGCACATTCGAAGTGCAATTTCCCAATTTCCCATGCGCTTCCATTACAGGTGGGCTAAAGTATGGCATACCGCTACACAGGTTGCCTACCCTGGCGCTGCAGGCGACTGGGGGGCCGCTTCTTTCCTACGGCAAGTATACGGCGTGCGGTATCTGGAGTCCTTAGTAATCTTTGGAAAAAACACACTGGATCTAGAGTCCAGACTCTTGAAAACATTGACAAGAAAAAGGATTCTTGATTCAATCAGATCTAACCTTAGATCAAAAGAAAATCCGCTCAAATTAAGAGGCTTGGTTCTTGATTTAAGCCTAAATCTGATTGAATCAAGAGTATTTTTTCAAGTCGATGTTTTTAAGAGTCTGGACTCTAGATCCAATGTGTTTTTGTTCTAGTGAGAATAATGAGCTATTCGAGACTGCTTCAGAACAATCCCTTATTATTTGAAGAGGAGGACGAAATTCTAGAAAATTTATTTTCAAACGCCACTAAAATGTCGATAAATTCGTCGTTTCCAAACGGAAGAAAGTAACTCCTTTCCAAGGTTGCAAAGTCGACGCAGAAAATTTAATTTTTAACATGAATGCACCTGTGTCGGTTTGTTTTAAATTTTCGTATCAGATCAGAAGAAAAATCAGCAAAAGTTTTCGGTTAGGAAAGACCAAGATTCTCCCGGTAAATATGCAATTCCCAGGGGGAAGTTTGGCAACATTGAAAGGTAATGATAGGAAAGAGATGAAACACAATAGCCCGAACGCTCACAACGATAAAAACACATGAAATACAAAACAAATAGGTTACAAGGCTAAGAAAATAGAATATACAAAACCAAGACGTTTCGCGCCGATTACACGCCCCTTCTCAACTGGAACAACAGCTAAAAAATTAAATTATTCAAACAAGAAAATGAGCATGCACCCGACCGAGGTAGGAATCAGTGCAATTTAGTTACGTTCTTTAGTGAGGAAAACGACGAATTGGACTGCATTTTGCAAAATGGAACTATAAATTCTAGCCCGGTTTAAAAAAACGTATGTGCCATTAGTTTCCCTATGCACGTAAGTGTTTTTTCCAGAAGAGCCAGGATTTATACTTCCAAATTGCAAAATGCAGTCCAATTGTGGCTGGACTAACCAACAATCAGGATCCTGCCACATCTTATTTTTTGTGTTGTATATTCTGTCGTGACAGCGAAGAGAGCAGTAAGTTCATTTCTGTATGAGCCATGGTTAGCACATGCCTTTATCTGTCCCGAGGTTCATCCCAGCGTGCACTTACTGCTCTCTTCGCTATCACAGCAGTATTGCGCTTTGAACTCTTGATATTTTCAATGATTGACTTTCTTGCTTCATTCATTACTATCAATAACTTCACTGTTTTTCTGTTTTTCTTTTTGTCAACAGGACAGTGTTTTGCCCTCCGGAGAAAGGTCCGTGGAGGGATCAACCATCACCCTTGAGAAGGTAGACAGGCATCAAGCCGGGATTTACCAGTGTACAGCCGAGAACGGGATAGGGAAACCTGCCACCGTGGACATGACTCTTGATGTCTTGTGTAAGTAAACCTCATGCTTATGTCACCTTCGAGCAGCGGATTATCCTTAGTGGCGTGGCGTGCTTTGCGAGATATCGATTGATCTGCCATTTAAACCTATGCCAAAGGATCGATCAACAGGGTGTTCGCATCGAAGAACCTTATAATCGATTCATTACCATAGGTTTAAATGGCATAACAATCGATATATCGCAATTCCCGCCACGCCACTGATCATCCTCACTGCTGAGGAATGCAGCTTCCATTCCGCTGATTTTACCTTAGAAACGGATCAGTTGCACGTTACACAGAGTCATGTTTTGATTGCACTTTCTGATTAACAGAAAAATCAACGGAGCTACCGTTTTAAGAGGAACGCTGTGTGTAAATCACGTCTCAGGGTTTCTGGCGGTCCGGAGAACATGAAAAGTCAAAGAATTTATCTACCCCAGGCGAAGAAACGCAAATTCATTTTGAAGTAATTGCTATATTTCTTTTCACAATTTTTATTATCACACTGGAGAAAAAACACATTGGATCTAGAGTCCAGACTCATGAAAACATTGACAAGAGAAGGACTCTTGATTCAATCAGATTTAAGCTTAAATCAAAAGGAAATCTACTCAAATAAAGAGGATTGCTTCTTGATTTAAGCTTAAATCTGATCGAATCAAGAGTATTTTTTCTTGTCGATGTTTTTAAGAGTCTGGACTCAAGATCCAATGTGTTTTTTTTCCCCAGTTTCACTTGGAAACTTTTGTTGATTGAATTGTGCTACTATATTTTGCAACCTCGGAATGAAGATACGTTCTTTTGGCTTGGATATGTATACGCCGATTTTACGACCCGAGAAAGTCGAAAAATTTACAGAAAAAGGAGAGAAATTTCACGAGTAATGCAGATATGGGAAAATTGAGTTTGAATTAGGAAACAGATTTTACAGTTATTGAGTTACAGCATCAGCTTGCCCCATAAAAAAGAAGAAAACATCAACATCGAACTGCAATTGTTCGTGTCATTGATGTTGAGATTGACTTCTAAATTTTAAAAGAAAGTTACCTTATTCGTCGAAAGATGTGTGTCTCACAATTCAGCGTGAACCAAACTCAGTACCGCCATACTCAATGTTGAGACCCAACAACCTCATCTCGTAGAGCAAATTCTCACCATCAGTCACCTGTCGCAGTAAAATGTCTTTTATCAGGGACCTTTATAATAATTCCGTGCGTAAAAATTGGTTCTCCGTCGCTTGGAACGTCAGCTTTTATGCATCTACAGGATTGAGGAATCATAAGTCTAGAAGGCGTCATATATGGATTCACAAGGTGTGCATGTTGATGTTTTTGTGCAAGCTGACAACTCTGCATCTTAAACATTGTCTGCATGTGAAAAGAGCGGGAACTTCTATCGTGGATAAAAAATTGTTGCCAAATATCATCATAAACTTGGGCTGTCTTGTATGCGTTTTCTTAAAAGAAACAGAAGTCATCGATTTAATTGAAAATTGACAACACTACGCCAGAATGAGATGAGCTTGGTAGAACCACATTATCAAGGGTTTCGGTGAGTTGCTATTTTTCACGTAAAAAGCGTTTTATATACTCGTGAGTTACTTAACTTTTGAGCGCAGAAAATTGTGACGGAGATGTTTCGCACGGACCCTTACACTCGTGGCAAGAACACCTACGTTTTTTCATTAATATTCATAAAAGTTACCCTTTTACTGATGTGTAGTTCCAAGCTAAAGCTCATTTTTTTCACCCACCTTCCTATTTTTCTGAGATGATGTTGAGAAGAAGGAACTTGCCATTCGTTACTCTAAATTCATTTGCTCCGAGAAAATCTCGTAAGTAGCGTGGTGAGGCGGCGTCTAGACACTTCTGCAACCTTCGTCAATACCATTTAAATAATTTTCAGCATTGTTTTTTTTTAAAAAAAACTTGTTTGAACAAATATTATGCTGAAAATAAAAGCTATCTTTCGTAAAGAAGAACTAATGGCACATACGTCGTCTTTAAAGTGAGTAAGAAAAATTGTTCCCTATTGCTGAGCTGAGTAGGTATCGTTCGGATTTGTCATTTTTTAGGCTCTAACATTTGCCCTCTGTAAGTTTCGTATTTTATTTTCCGCATTGAGAATAAGAGGGACCCACAGTAATCTCATCCGTCCTGAAAGTCTAATTAAATACTCTTGTTCATAAAAGTGTAACCTCTTTCGCTGCTTTTATCCGCTTAGCTCTCTTTTGTTTCCTTTTAACCCTTCTGCATCTTTTCTGATCCTCCGAATTCGTAAAAAACTTCAATTTCATTTTCATTGTCCGGTGTTTATCACTGTTTTGCACAACAAAATGAATAAATCAGAGCTCCTCCCAATTTTTACTTCGTCTAAAAAATGAAGTTATGATAGTTAGAATATTTGTTTTTCATTGAATCCGCACGGATCTAATTTTATGAATTGTTTTACACTTCAGTTATTATTTTAATCTTCAACGAGTTATAAATCTATTTTTTCCTTAGTTCCCTTTTCCTCCCTCTTTGAAAGTTGAAAAACAGTGTTTTAAGCTTGAACTGATTGAGTAGGAAACGACCCAGCAGGATAATACAACTATTTTAACTCTGGAGTAGTTGAGGAAGTATCTTCTGAGTTGAAGGAGTTTTTCGCCGGCCGCATAGCGGTTTGGTACACTGAATACATTATACGTCTCTCGGCTGTTCTTGGTGCTCTGATTAAATTTTACAAAGCTGAATCTACTCTTTTTGCGGAGTGTATAAACCTGTATGGTACTAATTTTACTTTGCACTCATATCACCCGGGGTTTTTAGGCGATTTAAAGACTCGAGCACCGAATTTCACTCCTCGATTTTTAACTGTGTACTCATACCACTAATTGTACCTGAGACCATACTTTTTGTTCGGTACGGACTAAAAGAGGGCAGCCGTTCAGCTAAAACTGATCTACTTTTTACCCTGAATTTCTCCGGGCTAAATGTCTTAATCTACTAATTCTTCCTCGTTAATTTTAGGCGTTTGTCAATAACTCAGCTGGAAGTAATTCTGAAAGCGCGAAAAGGAAAGTGTGCCGCTACATGTAAACGAATCTCGCGTTTGTGTAATTTTTTCCTCTTCTGATTTAATATATAATTAACGAAGCGCTCGTCGGAGCCTTGGAATATTTACGAGAGGAGAAATCAACCCCCGCCGTGATTCAGTCGGAGTTAAGTGGAAGGAGAAGCTTCTTTTTCCGGAAAGGTGCATGGGAGCCCCGAGCAGAGGCAGAAGTTCCTAACTCATTTTTAATGTTTCTGTCAATAGACAGCGTTTTAACTGCTGAATCGTTAGCTATCTTCTTCGAGCGCGTCGTTTCAGCGCCGCCGCCGCCATCGCAGCCCCCCGTCCTTAATGGGGTTAACTGCCGCCGAGCCACGCTTGGCCCACGCTTGTTGCTGCGACGATTTTGGCCCGGAACTTTGTGAGGCAACTTGATCTTATTGCCACTGCCCAAGTTGCCTTCCCGCAATTCGCCCATGCATATTTCCGCCGAGCAACACTACACCCCCCCCCCCCCCCCCCNTTCGAAATATGTTGCGGAGACCCGGAAGTACGAAGTGCTCCTGCTGCTGCTCAGTGTTCATTGTCAACTTGCCGAGGATTCCGAGAGTTTATCCTACGTGTAGCCATGTTTTGTACTAATATGCCGACGAGCTCGCGAAATTCTTTGATAAATTGCCAAATATTATACAGGAAAGCATATATAGACCAAAATTCGGTAAGCTGACCACAAAGGCATTTGATTGCAAAATGCCCGCTCTCATAATCAATGAATTTTTGAATGTCAATGAATGAATTTAAGACGATTTGTATGTAAATATGTTTATACCTATCAGTACCTTTATTTAGAAAATGACGGTTTTGTGAAGCCAAATGTGCAAAAAGCAAAAGAATAAATAAATAAAAAAAAATAAAAAAAAAATAATTCAGTGACGAGACGTGAATGATCCATCATCGATTTTTCTCCATTTGAAGCTGTTGTAAAGAATCGATTATTAAGGTGTTTGTTGCGAACACTCTATTTATCAAGCCTTTTCCATAAGTTTAAATGGTAGATCGATCTGTGTTTCACAAAGCATGCCACGCCACTGCTAGTAATCTCCAAAAAGTAAGTCGTTTTTCCGCCTCTTTTTTTTTATCTATAATTTTACGAGAATGTTGCTGACGTTCTGCTCACGACTTCCTTGCCACTTATGACGTTGCCGTTTCGACGGAAATACAATATCAGTAGAGGTGCGGTGGATTTTTTCTAGAACTGACCATTGCCTGTGAGAAATTTTGAGGAGAATGGTTAATGATTACTTCCTTGTTGAAGCTACTGTAAAAGAATTTCAGCCGATTTCTCTATATAAATACTGATGAAACTCGAAAGACCAATGCATTTTTGGTAATCGTCATGCTGAACTTTAAAACGTGTTGTTGTAAAGCAGATGATACACCTCTAATGTATCTAAAAACCTGGAATACTTGGAATATACAAGGATTATTAGCGGGCTGATTATTGAAACTGATAGACAAAACAGACTTTACGAAGTTCGCCTGACGAAGGAACGTAAATCCATTCCAAGGTTGCAAAATTGACTCTAACAATTTAATTTTTTACATGAGTATACCTGTTCGATTTTTGATCAAAATTTTTTCGATTTTTGTATGAAATCAGAAGCAAAATGAGTGTTTTCAATTAGAAATTTCCAAAATGTTTCTAGTGGAAGTGCATTTTGAGCGGGGAACTTTGGTGACATTAAACGGAACGCGACTTTTACGTTCTTTCGTTAGGGAAACGGCGAACTGGAAAATAGATAAATAGAGCAATCTTTTTGGTCGAAAAGGATGATTGTTGTAGACTAAGGGAGAAAATGATGAACTAACTATATCGTCTTTCATTGGTTGCCATTCGTTACTTCTCTTTTGTCCATTGGAACCAGCCGCTTCCACCGATAGGATCGTTCCATTTTCCCTTCATGTTTGTCTAT